CCCCTTTCGTCATACCTAAACAAAACCCGGAAGCGTGACTAGCACCCCAGTGTGAACACATTACATCTATGAAGATCTACCATATGTTCCATGTTTTCCTCCTTGATCTTGCCTTCCCCGATCCCCTCCCTAGACAGGCAATGCAGCCACCGCCACCTATAGAGGTGGATGGAGAACAGGAGTAGCAGGTAAAGGAGGTGTTAGATACTAAGTTTGATATAAACCAGTTATGATATCTGATCTGATGGAGGGAATACGAAGAGGCCACCTGGGAACCCGTCGATACGGTTAACAGACTCCAGGCTTTGGAACAATTTCACAAATGCTACCCTCATAAACCAGGACCCATACCAGAGTAATGTGTCTCAGGGGACTTCAGTGTCAGAGAGGTGAGCTAGTGTCACAGCCACCTGGCCATGGAGGAGGACTAGGCATTGGATTTTTGATTGCATATATCAGGTGTAGTTTTCTTGGTTGCATAGTAGGATTTCCTTTATATTATGATTGGAGTTTGTTGCTGCACAATGGAATATGGTGGAACCTGATGGAAGGATCATGGCTGTGTGCAATGCCAAGTACTTTCTTTTGTATTAGTGATTGAGGAGGATTTTCTTTATATATAAAGGGGTGTGCTCCTTTATATTTTATATTCTTCAAGCAACCTGGTAATCTCCTTTAGATACCTATACCTAGGAATTACACCTCTCTTCTACTTCACGTCCTCTTGAACCTGTGAACCCTGACCCTGAACTCCTGAGCCCCAAACCTCATACAACACGACTCGGTTGTGCGCCTATACCCAGACCTCATCTCTGAACTCTTGCCTACTCTGATCACAGTGTGCCTTGGGCTACCCCAACCTCAGACCCTGTTCATTACACTCCAAGGATATGAAGACTTTGCAGACATAACTGTACTACCAGGATGAGGATTATAGAAATTAGTCAGAACTGCTTACAAGTTGTCATTTTAGGTAGAAAGTTCAATGGTAAGATCTGCCTTCTTCCTCAGATCAAGTTTATTACTTCTAATAATAATCTATCCTTTATTTTAGAGCATACCCAATTTCCTGTTTGTCTCTCCTTTGCTACTACTGCTAATAAGTCTCCAGTCCAGTTACTAGAACAGTTTGGTATTGATCTTTGTACAAATGCCTTCACTTATGACTAGTATTATATCCCATTGTCAAGAGTTACGTTACTTGCTAGACTAACTCTATTGCCTTTAGAAACTACCCTAAGACATACTAGTACAGGTAATGTAGTATTCCTGAAGTCCTTTCTTAATTTTCTCTTAGGTTTTCCTCTTCTATAACTTTTCTCTCTTTATTATATATTTATGCTTACAAATATTATTATCTACTTTATAATAAGGATTAGATTTAAAATTAATATCTTATTAAAGATTTCCATATCTATGAATTAATTTTCTTTTACTATTAATATTACTTACTCATCTATATTTCTGAATTTATTTTAAGTCAGGTAGGAGGATAATAAATACTAAACTAAACTTCTACTCTTTTAACTAACTATAGATTTTGTAAGCATATAATTTAAATTCAACTAGAACCAATTATTAGTAGAGTAGAACTCAGCCTTGTACAGCCCTCAAGTATCAAGAGAGAGATTACTAGTAGTTATGTACCATACTAATTATCCTTCTCTGTATAACAACAATACTCCTGATCTACCCTCTAGCTTTATAGTCCTCTTGATATATCAGAACCAAACCGATTCACAATTACTACAATTTGCTTACATGATGTAGATCAACCTTGATCAAGCTGAACCTGATACATTAAGTAGACAATTGAGCTGGGTCACAGTTGTAGACCAGAAGTACTCTGGCCTTGCTTTTGTTCTATACTAATATACCTAATGGATATCTGAGTACTATAGTTAGTTTTATTAACTACTACAAATATCTTCATAATTCTCCTAGTGTCTTGGTAATCATGTTCAACTCCAACTTCCTATCTGTGTTATTTCAACAAACCATAAGACTTCCTACATCATATGTATAGGGTATCAAATTATTATTTTATAGGCAGTAACCAACATGTACTATTGAAGTCAATGGCATTGGATCAGATCCTAGTACTCCATTATGTGCTGGCAGCCCTGGTAACACAGTACTTGATAGTGTGGTAGCCGAGTCAGGAAATTAGTGTACCTGTGTTGATACACGTACAAGTCACTTTATTTGAAAGTCCTCGCAACCCCCGAATCTGAGATTCTATCAAATAGCTCTTAGTATTATTGTGTTTGAAGGATGGAACCACAACATCCTGAAAATGAGACGGGGATAAATTTTATATATTGGAGGATTGCTTGAAAAGATACATTGTTGCCTATCCTTCATGAAGAACTATCCTAAGAATCAGGTTGGCCATCTTGAAACCTGGGGGTTTTTAGTGTTACGCATTTTCTTTCACATGAAACTATCTGCTAATTTGGTCTTGACGCGCACCATTTATAAAATCTCCCTCCCCCTTTCCCACCTCTTTCTCTTCTCGTTTTCCTCCCACTCCACGCTTTCCAATTCTTTCGACAATGCATTTCAGCGATCAATCACTCTGGGACCTATCAGGTCCTCATTCAGATACCATCGCAGGTGATGCGGATGATCTATTAGCCCACCCTCCCCTTGCCTGCAACGATGGTCTCACCCCGTTGTTCCGGGGAAATGGACTCGGGGGGCTTGTTATATGGAGGTACAGCCCCTATTTGCTGATCGTAGTCCCTGTGGAACATACAAAACTTAGGAGCTGTACCCACTTAAGTGGGATGATCTGCGCGACCGATACCTCACTTTGCGAGTACCCTAGTTAGGGCAAAGGATCCGATCGCTATATCGGCCGTGAGTGGCTTTCAGGGCAAGCGAAAGGGCAGGAGTCATCCTCCGTAACCATCAGAGCTGTATTCTATGGCCTTGTGACAAACCTATCATTTCCCATCACTCAGACGACCGAGAGGTATGCTAGGAATAGTGAGGTGGATTTGTATGAGGAGTTGGAGGAAGGCGAGGTTGGAGTGGGCGATTGATACACCGCGAAGGGTTGGGAAGGGTAGGGTATCGCACATTGTATTAAAACATGAAAAGAACTAAGTGATGCCAAATGACCATAGCTACTGCTGGCATATTCACATCACAATACAAGATTACATGCTATACACAACATAGATCCGTCTCCGTGCCCAACGTGGGTCTCTCTACATGTGTTATACTCACTAGCAACCAGCCCTCCCCGCCCCCGAATTAAAAGCCCCCGCCCATATGAAGGCCCCATTTGAAATTGGAAAAACAATGATGCCGACTCCGGCTACCCTCGTGTGAACACAATGGAAGAGGGAAACAAAAGAGAAGACAGTATATATATGTATCATAAAGCAGAAACGCCATCATCGTCCAGCTTACGGAGAGAAGAAATGCTGCGCCGTGGGCTTGTGGTAGTGTCAAAGGCTCGCCGCCTTCTCTTCCTACCCCCATCCCCACGCTTCACATCCACCCACCCACAGCTACCGCCACAACATACCCCCCAACACAGCCCCGAGGACCAACCCCAAACCTCCCCGCCAAGACTTAGCAAGGGGGGTTTACCCTACCAAGGAAGATTGCCAGTAATTGAAAACGATCCCGTGGGAGCCACCCACTATTGCTACGGTGAGGGTTGTGGGATCCGATGATGATGACAATAGCGAAGGCTACTGAGATGGCAAAGGTCCTTTGGTTCCATTAGAGAGCACGCATTAGCAATACTCACTGCAGGGTACCTGCAGGGGATTTCAATTACAAACATCACTGCCGGTGACAGTATTTTAATCGTCCTTACGGGCACCGGCGTGGCTAATGGATGGTGAAAATTTGAGGTATGGAGTCAATTCTTCATCTGGGTACACAATAATGACTACTTTTTTAGTGTCCCTACGGCATCCTTGACCCCAATCACGATACCACGCTTTCTACAGTTTCCCTATGGGGCAACAGTCGGGGGGACCCTCTGTAATACTTCCGTACTCGAGTAAAAGGTTGGTGGGCCATTAGGATCCCGGATGTCCCATAACTTCACACTCATTCGGTATATAGGACAGGTCTCAATGTTCTCCCATCTATTACAGGAATGCCTGGCCTAACCACAGGAGTGCCCTCTGATCCTGGCCTCCGTAACCAACGTCTTGAGTGCCACTACAGTACCATAGCAAACGTACACCCACTCTGTTGCCAGATTCCAAATTATTCCTATTGGTGGAGATCTAGGCCTCAACCACGAGACCTGAGCCATTCCCGCCCATGTGGGAGCTCCACAGAGGACATGGTGAGGTGTGTCGGATAATATCAAAATAAAATACAGTGCTGGGTACTGGGATATTTATTGTAATCCCTCTCATTTGTTACTTCCTCTAACTTCTTTCCTTACCGACCATTTAGACCATATATGGAATGGTTTCTGGATTTTGGATATTTGTTTTAGCCTCAAAGGGGATTTTTCTCACTAATTCACTTTTTCAGGATGTCTATCCTAGAGCGTCTGCTCCAGATCTTGGCCATTTAGGACAACAGGATTCAACTGTGGGTGGTACGAGTTTCACCCGACTGTGGAAGGTCAGTGACAAACTCTCCTCTCCCCCTCCCGCCTAGTCCATGATTGCAGGTGAGAAATCGGCGGCACCAGGCAGACGTCCAAGCAGCAAGCAGGAATTTCCAGAAAAGCATGCGTGGCATTGATGACTTGTCCCAAGGAAGAAGCATCTGAAAACAAGCAGCAACTTGAAAGAAACATTCATACCACTATCATACCAGTAAAACATATTTGAGTGAACCGATGGTCAATATGAACATTTCTTATGGTGCAAAGCTTCTGAAGCATGTGCTACGGTGGGTATGATACACCCATGTATGATAAAGCCTATACTGTACTGGAGGAGGAGGACTGTGCTTGTACAGGGTAAAGGGTTCCTCTTTCTTTGCTCCAATTGTTTTATAATATCATATTATATATCATACTTGACATAACCTAAAATATTGTTAGGCCTGAATAACTAATTAATTAATCTAGACTAAGGACGCAGAACAAAGTCATGAGTGGGCAGACAGAATGATTATATTGCTGATTAAGCAAAATTCTGGCCGGGATAACTGGCACAAGACGTTTGTATCATACATAGAACACGCGGTCCTGCCCAAACACCCCCTAAGTTTGGCTGGATGTCTGACCTAAGCAGAGAAGGGGGGCGGGGGAGCAGACACGACAGGGCTTATTTAGGATCTGGGGTGCCATACATAAACCCTAAAAACTTTTAAAAACTACTCTTAGGGAAGTGACCAAAGTTGAACATGGAAACCTTGAAACATCTCTTTTTTTTTTCATCCCCTAGTTTAAACCCTTTAACATTTCCATGTGTAGGTATTACATCGGTGTACCCGCCACGGTATGATGATAGATGCATTAGACCCTTTGCACCATATTGGGACAAAGCATGGTATTGTGGGGATGAAAATGTGGTTCACTCTTTTTTCTCGAGAGGGGGTATGCCCTAATCTGGGTTTGTAGGGCTAGTTAGGTTTTTGTTAATTTAGATATCACAGATTGGGAGGCACAATTTTTCCCTAGGTAGAAATAAAATAAAACATTCTGTTTCGTCGGTTGGCAGCGGAGGGGTACAGTGTACGGAATCTGTCAATAGAGAATCTAAAGAGTGCTGTAGTGGTCTGCAAGTCAATAATTTCATAGTAAACTTGCATTGTTTTCGAGCAAGGATGGACAAGGATGTCTCCGAGGTGCCCGGAGGAGGAGGAGGTTCTTCTCGGAGGCATTGATTAGTGGCTGCGCGGGGCTCCTTGCTGGTATGGTGGTCAATAAACGACAGTGTAGACTAGAGCTCATCCAGATCATTGAGCATCGCTTCAGCACGATACTTGCATGATCGAGATAGTCCGTGAACATTCCTAGTGAATACCAGTTTCCGTTATGAAGCTGAGCCAATTGGTTGCTATATTAACCGCTGCGGCCAGCCAGGGATCTTTTTCACATCCTATCACCACAGGAATGAATACCTTATCTTACCGCCTCTGAAAGTTCTTTTGTCAAGGGTGAGGATAGTGATATTATAATATCTACTATTAAAGGCATAACGTATTTGAGAAGAAAAGTATCTGTGGATTCTGAGACGCTATATGGATCTTCTAGTATCAATGTTGTAAGATGGGCTCCTTTCCCATGGTACGGTACTGTACCTGTTTACCGAAAAAAACAAGCCTTTCATCATCGTCCGAAAAAGAAAAGCAAGAAAAAAGGCAAGTCAGGTATGAATAGTACCACTGATCAAAGATACAATGTCAGCGAGACACCAGGATGGAATAACTTAAATACAGTCCAAGTACACGCCTACTCCAACCACCCAACCAGCAGAAAACAATCACAGATCGCAAACCACCTATCATAGCCGGAACCCCCGACCGAAACGAACTGCACCCAGACATCAAAAACTCCCCCATAGCAAAAAAAAGACATGTTCCAAACCTCGATTCAAGCATAGCGACAGAAAAGTCACCCTGTACAGTGCTTTAATGACTATCCGCCCCTGATCACTACCACGGCATCATACACACCTGTATAATAACGTACGTACAAACACACTCAAACAAAACATTAAGTTACGACAAACCCCAGCGACGAAGTCCCCCCCCCCCAAAAAAAAAATCAACCCCCCCTCGACCTTATTCACCCTTCCATTGACAAGCACACGGGTTCATACCAGTGAGCCGGAATTGAAAATCATGGCGAGCTTTCGGAACTTCTGGAAACTGATGGGGGATTTATCTGTGATGCCGGCGCGGGTCCGATCCGAGGGTGTGATACCCAGAGAGAAAATTTCCTTCCGGGGGGTGGTGTTGCTCCCTCGGTAATTTCTATGCAGTTTGTACGAGTAAGGGCGGTGAATAATTAAAAATAGTAGTAATAAAAAAAAGTAATGGATGCGTATCAGCAAGTGCCACCTACTCGTAGTAACTACCGTATGATAATACCACACCGCTTGCCGAATCATACAAAATCACTCGTTTGATCACAACTTGACATTCATCACCCCTATTGTGGGGGTTGTAGGGGGGAAACATGTGGTTGATTGCAAGTTCAAGGATGACATAACCTATGTGGGTATGAAGGAGATGCCGATAATTGGTCTGGACATGTATTTGTGACGCTTGTTTCTCACTGTGATACAAAAAAGTTGGATATCTCCCCGCAAGTGCGACAACACACACAAAGCACTCCAATCACAAGCGATCACTCATACTCTCTACTCTGGCTTCGTCTCCTTTTCCGCCTCCCAGACCCCACTAATATCCACCCCAGCAGCCTCCATCTTCCCCACAATTCTTCTCGCGGCCTCAACAACTGGCCTGTCCACCATCCGCCCGTCAAGCCCCCAGCTCCCCCTCCCCTCAGCCTGCGCGACCTCCTCCGCGACTAACACCCTGACAGCCACCCGTACCTGCTCCTCCCCGGGCAGGAACAGCCTCTGCACGACATCCACCTGAGAGGGATGTATGACTTGCTTCCCGTTGAACCCCATCCCTACCCCATCCAGACATTCCCGCTCGAGAACCGCGACGTCCCGGTAGGATGTGCAGACCAGGTCAATTGCGGACGGGATGCTGTATGCCCGCGCCGCCATGGCGATTGTCTGTCTGGCAAGGAGGAATTCTGTCAGCGAGGGGGTGCGGGTTATGGAGAGATCTTTTGCAAAGTCCTCCGCTGCGAATATTAGGCCCGAGAGGCGGGGGGTTGAGCCGCTGATTTGGCGGATGTCGATTATTGAGCGGGCAGATTCTAGAAGGGCTTTGGGGGTGTCTTAGTGGACGGGGTCTGGGGGGGGGGAGGAACTTGAAGGGCAGGGGGACGGACCGAGAATTTTCACTGAGGATCTTTTGGGGTGATTTGAGTGGTCTAGAACGTTTGATACGAATGTTCTATCGAGCATAGCAGTGGCTAACGGGTCAGTAGGGGGCGGGGGACATAAGGACGTGTAGGGATGGGGTGAGCGGAAACTGACAGATCTCCCGCACTTTCCACTTTCGGCACAACAATCGTGTCCAAATTCTTTCCTTGCAACTGTTTCCACCCTCATGGTCAGTCACCACAATCCATCGCTCTCCCCCAATTCCAGTTAAACTCAATGGACAGACCACAACCCCCAAGTCCTCCAATGCAAGCCCCGACCCAACAGCGTTAATCCTAACACCAATTTCCCTCACCCCTCTCGGCCTCGGGAGGTTTAAGGCATCCTTGATTATGTGCCTGGCGGTAGGCTTCTCGGTGGCAGTTACAGCGTCTTCAAGGTCGAATGTCTGTTTGTGCAGAAGCGGAACAGGGGGGAAGAGTTTAATTGGCAGATCAGTCTCCGTGCTTTACGTTTGGGTAAGGGAGGAGTAAGATCCCGTTCCTGCATGGCCAAGATGCGGCCAAAGTGGTTGAGGCAATTGAGGGATTGGGGGATTGGGGTAAACCGGGTACTCGAGTATAAGGAAGCTGTTATGCTTCCAGGTCATGGGGATGGGCACGGTTGATAGAAAAATGGAACGAATGAAGGGATAGCACGACGCATGTGATCAACACGATCGAAGGGCTATACCAACCACAACCGGGAGAACAAAAGGAAACGGAATCTCACGGTCTCAGGGGCATCAGACTCGTAGGGTATCGCCCGCAGATTCGGGCACGGGACACGACAAAGGCCGGATCATCCAGTAAAGGAAAAGGTGGAAAGAAAAAGAAAAAAAGAACAAAAGAACAAAAGAAAAGCACGGCATATCAAAAGCAAACATAAAGCTTAACCGGCAGGATCTACAGGGCAACGGAACATGCGACCCACAACACAGTCAACGTCCAAGCCTCTCGCCCTCTCCATCATCCGTTTACTCGATCCGGGAACTTTGTATCCGGACGCATACGGTACACGTATCATCAGTCAACATCCCCAATACCGGGAATTGGGATCGAATTACCTACCATAGAGTAATGCCCGACGTAAGATTGGGGCTGGGGCTGAGGTCATTTACAGGGTTGACGGTTCCTCTTCTTGTACCTGTACGGTAGTGCGAGAGATTGGGGGGGGGTATTTCGATACGAGGTGGCTCGGATGGGGAGGAGAATTTGGATAGCCTGTGGGATGGGGATGTTGGTAGTGGTTGGATATCGTACAGTGCTCGAGTATAGTAGCAGTTGGCTGATGGTTTGTTGGCTTGGCGAGAGAGTATTTTACCATTGGATTGTCGACTATTGAACCAACGAATGCCTCGATGGGTGCAACTTGGATACCGGTACAGTACTCTACAGTACAGTAGGAGCGCGGCAGTTACTCCAGTGCTCGTGTATCATGCTGGCAGCGTGTTGAGCCGGATTGATCTCGATACCGGTATCCTACATGGCCCCATTTTCTGAGGGCGAAGTGAAGTTTCAAATTGTCAATCCGGTTGCGGTCTGGCGGGTGTTGGCGGCTGCCCCTTGATCCAAGGCCCCGGTCCAATTCGCCGCCTTTGGAGCAAATGTTTCCCCAGAGTTTTACTCGAGTACCGGTACCACCGTAGTATCTGTACTCGAGTAAAACTCTGGGCTCCAGCGGAGTAGAGAATCCAAAAATAAAATAAAAAAGGCTGCCTGTCTGCCGGGTGCAGACCGACGGCTCTGACGGTGCACTGATAAAGGGGTGATGCGCATGTAAAAACATCTCATCCATTCGAACAAGTTACAATTTCACGCAGAGATGAGTTCCGGTTGAATCGCTGCATGACGGGGATCACACTGCTACTGGTATCATACTCGGTATGGGGACGACAATCGATACTCTATCGGGGGGAATCATGAAAGGGGAGGAAGGGGAAATAAGGGACGGGTAGGGTGAAGGCGTGGTGGGTGGTGGAGGCATTCCGTGTACTGGAGTATACGGTACACCCCTATCCGACGATCTCACAGAGACAAATGAAAACGCGATCAAACGGCCACCGGCCAACCCGCCAGCAGCAGAGGTCGGATGTATAATACTCGTACAGTAGCGAGCCTCCTGAAACCGTTCTGGTTGGCCAGTCGATCGTCCCTCCAGCTTTCCCTGTACGGTGACGAACACTCTCTCTGAAACTCCCCTCGCCGCTCCCAATTTGAAATTTTGGTTCCCAAAAAAAGACACCCCCTGCCACCAATCGCCATCCGAAAGACGCCACACCGTACCCAAAATTACGCCGGCAGCCGCTGGCTCCACTTGCATCCGGGCATACCGGCGGGAAGGACTGGGACGGAAGATACTGTGGGTTTTATCCATTCACCTTATCTTATCTATCCGGCACCCGAGTAGTTTTTTGTTTTTGTTCTCATTCATTCCTTTTTTTTTCATTTTCGATTTTTTTTTTCCCGCGAGAAAACACCCGCGTGGCGCCCGCCCGCCGCCGGCTCGTGCGCGCGTGCAGGATTGATGACGCAGCGACTCAGAGATGGGTGCAGCACCGAACGAACCCGGCACTGGATAATAACCCAGGGGGGATAGCGAGAGAGATGCATGTTGTGCTATTATCGCGGAAAGTGAGATTTATTGCATCCGATTACCACAACAGCCACAATTCGATACCGCACCGGGTAGGCCGGTTCTGACTCGGAGTTCGGTATGCGATGGAAGTGCGCATATCATATTCCATCCAGCCACGGTGAAAATGCCGTAGTTGTACCCGAGTAGTTTTGGGTGAACGATATGGCGACACGACGGTCGCAGCGAAGGAGAGACCGGGTGCGAGCTGGGGCGCGGAAGGTCGACAAGGATGGATGGCATGCTGTGCCTTAAGAGGTGGATTGAAGAGGGATGGGCATTCCTCGAGTAGTCTACTCGAGTACTGGTCCCACACTCGAGTCCAATATTCAAGTGTGTGGGTCCCTCCGCTTGGGGAAGGGAGAGAGTCCACTCGTACTCGAGTAGTTAAAAAGACTTTGGAGCCGAGAGGACACACTAACCCTTTGGAGTCCTAGTTTCGTGCCGCTCGGAGGACTTACGCAAGCTCCTTCCGGAGGGTTCGAGTGAGGGAAAAAGAAAAAGAAGAGGAGGAGGAGGAGGAGTGAGTGGTGAGAGATGGATGAATAGTTACGGGTTCACCACCGCTGCTTAGAAATGGATGGAATAACCTACAGCGCATACTCGTACTTGTTGACGGACACGATATCACAGCCCATGCGCCGGTACGAGTAGAGTCGGCGCTTCATTCATGCTTATTCAACACCTTCACCCTTTGTTTCGCCTCTTCCAATTGTATGTGATGCCGGTGTTTGTACATGTATCGTATCATACAGGTATCATGCCCTATCCACTGTAACCTTTGCTCACCTCACCTCTACTTATTCCCCTCCGTGCTCCCCCTCCGTCACGCATTCTGTCACTCCCCCCCCCCAATGGTCACACCGCCTAGCTCGCGTCCATCACACACTCCACCCCCCCCCCTTCATTCCTCTCCTTGACCGCTGCTTCTTCGCTCACCTTCGCTCACCCGTGATCCTGTCCCCTCTCTCGGGCCAACCCTCCCTCCGTCAGCCTCCCTTTTAACCTACCACCTCGCCCACTTTGGACTGCCGTATCACCGCTCTAACCCACTTACGTATGTCTGCTGAATACATCATCAGAGCTGCGAACGCTGCCTATTCCCCCCCCGTTCCACAGTTCTGAGTCGGCTTCCGCTCCTCCTTTCCCAAACCAAGGCAGGCCGCCACGCAGCTCGTTTCACCTCTCCGGCCATCCTGCTTGGCACCCCCCCCCCGGCTCTCCGATAGTTGGTGACCCACCGCTTATCTGGAATAAAAAGGTACAGAGAAAATATTATTCCGGGTATTTCGTCACGCAACCCCCTGACGGGTGGTTTGTATAAAGTGGGATGGCGCCCTCAGGTTGGAATTGTTTTTCCAACGGTGGCATCAAACTTTCAAGCGAGCAAAAGAGGAGAAGCAAGATGACATCTTCGGTTGATCCCACAAGAGCCATAACGGAGGAGGAGCCTTGTGAGTTTTTTTCTCGCCCTCTTCCCCTTCTACCATCCTGGAAGCTCGATTGGGAATGAGGAATTTTCTAACATTCTTCAAGTCCAGGTTAATCAGTCGAAACAGACGAGTAACCTTCGCGCGACTCAATTTAAGGACCAGTACGGGAACCCCATAGGTGCGTTCTCCCCAATTCCCCGCTAACATAGCTCCTCGCTGTTTGTCTCACCTCGCGGTCGCGGTGCTGACGTTGCCTCGCGAAGCAGCTGAACCGGATCTGAGCAACCCGACCAGAAACCGTTGGGAGCGACCGCTTGATACAATTCGTGCCTTTGAAGACGCCATTTACAAGGAGCACCGACGTACGTCTTCCCACGGGGGAAACCCGATGCTGCCATTCTCAAGGCTGCGATGGGGCACCCTGCTAACTTCTCTTGTCTTGTTAGGCGACCGGGGCACGGACCGGAGGAGCGGCCCTTCGTCAGAGGCTGGGCATACCGCGGATAATCAGCAACGTGAGTCCGTTCCCCTTCCTCCCTAGCTGGGTCCTGGACTGAGATTTCACCCAGAGAACCACTATGACTTCCACACTCGGAGCAATACCAATACTCCGCGAAACCCTCACTATGACGTATACTCCGGGCGTTCTGCAACACCTCGGTCGGGAATGGATGGGTATATCGCACATCCCCGCGAAAGTAACCTTTTGGCACTCTCTAACGAACATGCAGTTACGGGGAACACGAAGTAGGCTATGGCCGTATGAATGCACGCTCACCCATCTATAGCGGCAGGATGTCGCCCCGCAACCACGGGCACCATCACAATTACGGTTATCCCCAGGGTGCGGCGGGTCCAGCACGTTCGGGCTACGATAGGCGGCAGAATTATGACCCGTATGCGCATGGCCATCGCCCCAACAATAATGCCGAAGGGAGCGGACAACCGGCGCAATACAATGCGCCTAGTCCTGAAAGTTATCAGTCGAAGCCGGCGTCAAATTCCTCCGGACCGGACTCTGATATTTCGCACGGGTCGACGGGCGGTCACTCCGCCCAGCCCCGACCCGCGGATAACTATGGCTTTGCTGGTGATCAGGGCTCTGGGCAACCCGAGCTGTTTACCACATCCGCACAACTCTACGAACCTTTATCGCCTGGGGCAAATTGGGATGCGCCAAAGCCTCGCGCACCACCAACGCCGCCAGCCGAGGCGGATCAGAAAGCACTTCCCTCGCCACCGCCACCCGCACAGCAACCGGAATCGAGCGCCGCGGCTGAAAAGAGGAAGAGTTGGTTCAAGCGGAAAATGAACAAAGGCCAGGCTTGATTGCTGCCTCTTTTCTTTTTTCTTTTTCGCCCGGTGGAAGGGTTTGTGGTTTGGCTTGGTTTCGGGATCATGGTTGAGAACTTTTTTGCTGTTTGAGTGCGAGTGTGTGAGTGCAGCTGTATTTTATTCGCGTGCTTTCCCCCTGCAGTGTGTCCGCCTTCAGTCCGATTTCCCCTCGTTTCCGTTTGCTATTCGGGCGTGAGGCAGGGGGATCTGATGACGCGGTGCTCACTTTCATGGTGATCTCGATGGTGCCGATATCTTGGCCGTTCATTATCTACCGGAGTTTTTTCATACAGTGCTGTGCCATGAGCTACGGATAATTGGGGGTTATTCCAAGGAGCCTCCCCTTTTTTCTTCCTTTTTTCTGCTCTTTTCCTGCTTTTCCTCTTCCCCTTGGAGAGTGGGCTTAACGTGGGTGAGGCGGGGGAATCGGTAATGGGGGGTGGGCCCAGGAGTTATCTTTTTGTTTGTTTCCTGTTATATACTGTTTAGGGTGGGATTCTCGTGTTTTCTTGTTTTTCCTTCACCGATTGTATCTTTCACTCTCTTACCACTTTGTCTATGGGTACCTCATTTCCAGGATAGCATTCTTCTTTTTTTGTTTTCCCCCCCTCCGACGACCTCATCTTTCGCATTGGGTTGGAAAGTGTTTGTGTAGCAGCAGACTACAGCACTTTATGTGCGACAAGTTTAAAATTAATATAGTTTATCTGGATTGAGTACCTTCTTCATGTTTGAGTTGGCGGGGTATGTTGGAAATATTGTACTTTTATATAGGCGGCAGATTATGTGCTAGAGTGGCTACTATATCATAGTTTTCCATTACACCTCGACAGCTTTACTGTCATGCCGTGAAAGCAGTTATCCGATTTTTGGGAGGTGGTTTAAGGCTTTAAGCTACTAGTACCCGTTGGTAGGATGCTGCAGAGGCCGCCATACCGTATCTTAGCTCCACCGTAATTTAGGGCTAGGGTTAGTGGGTACTCTAGATAGCAACGACGTTCACACCTGGCCTACAATATCATACCTTCACCTTTATCCATCCACCTATCCATCCATCAAACAGCCATCACCGACAACCACTCCATCAACCGATCCAATCAAACTCGTGTTTCTCGAACAAACAAGATAGAGATGGTGACTTGGAAATCCCCGCCCCCTTCACCTCCCCCTCACCAAACAAAGCCTAAAACTAACCCCACCAACCACTACGGCTCGCAGTCCCTCCGCTTCGTTCCCCCCGCAACCTCAACCCCTGCAACCCTCCCCCCCCCGCGGCGTCCGCGCCCTCGTCCACATCCATTCCTGACACTCTCCGCGCCGGTGGTCCCACCTCCCTCGCCTCGACGCTGAACTCTAGACACCCGCTCGAGGCACGCCTAGCGCAGTGGGATGAGACACAGGAGAAGCTCAAGATGGAGAACCTCCGCCGCATGTTTGGCGTGCAGGAGGTTGTGCGTCGCGGTATGGAGATAAAGATTGCCGGGTCGGATTGGAGGCCGGCGCAGTTGGGGGGCCCATCGAACTTTCACTTGGACATTTTGAGGGGCGTGGACGAGAGGATTGAGTGGGAGGATGTGTTTAAAGGTTTGCCTTTTCGAAGGTTCGAGCAGGGCGGCAAAGGTGCTAATTATTTGTAGGGAATGATAATACTTTTGAAATGCCAGATTTCCATGCCGAGATGGAGAGGAAGCTTAGGATGAACTGGTAGATTTGGGGGGTGAGTTTTCTGCAGCTTCATGACATGAGATGGAGCGGGCCGGGAGGTGGGGGTAGACGAGATACCGTTCGGTATGGATATAAAGAAAAGGGTTCTCTCAAATTTAATCTTGACTGGCCCGTTTCATGATAATTGGGACGCAAAATTGATTGCACGTATGATACTGTGCAGCTGCGACTCGGCTGGTATGGTATGATTTGTCGCACCACCGGCAAATACCCTACCACCACGATACAAACGGCTATGCACAGCAAACCAGCCGGCAAGCCGCTAGCGCAATACCCCCCTGAAGCTACTAAAACGAGTAAACCTCTGCAGGGGACACCCGTTTACCCATCCATCCATCTATCCCGTATCACTACCCGCGAGGCACAGAGCTTGAGTATTACATATGTCTCCCGCCGCCCCTTCCACTCCAACACCCACTGACAAATGCCGCATCCCTTAACCCGCAATCAAAGCTAGAATCACCCCACACTTTATATCTGCACCCCTTCACGAAATGCATTCTCTCCCATCTAACCCCACTACACGGCCGGGCCGCAACTCCTCGAGACGACGCTCCAATGTTCCCGGATACGTACGAAGGTGTAAACATGATGCACAGTTCTCTACAGCACTGTACCCACACATTGACCACATCACTAGTGAGCGAAAACAAAAAAAAAAACCCCCCCCCCAAAAAAACAGGAAAGTAAATCGCTTCCTGCCCCTTCTTTCTTTCTTTCTCGAGTTTCTCCATCGGGGTGACCGGTGGGCAGTGTGGCGGTACAGTACTGTACTCTACTGCACGGTCCGAACCTCCAAGCCTCGAAAAAGGAACACCACCCCCATCCCAACCTTTTGTCCCAATTCCGCTTTCCAAACCCTGACTTCTTCCTTCTCCCTCTCGCGTGTGCGTACGTATGTAGAGGGAGAGAGCGTGGTAGGAGTATGATGGATGATATGGTGGACTCACAAGTGTGTGTCCTATCAGCACTTATTGATGACCTACCCCCACCTCGTATGGCCTATTGTTTTTTTTTTGGTTTGTCTGGTGTCGTGATTCACTGTCAACGCCTACTGTGTGTAAACCAGAACTATTATGGACGTTTGGAACCGCAGGGGGTATGGACCAGCGCTTGTTTCGCTCTCTTGGTCACGTTCGCGCGAATCTTATGTGATCGGGTCGAGTGATTATTTGTGATGTGTTATTATTAGAGGGGAAAGCTACTGTGAGTTATGTTTGTGGTAGGATAATGGGTTGTCGGGGGAAGGGTGGTTGTATCCGAAGGGAGATATGCCGTCTAGTTTGGTGGATGGGTGGGTGTGTAATGTTTTTTTTTATTTTTTCGTGGAATTGTGATGGGCATTTGACACACGGAGTTGTGGGAAAGCTATGGGCATGATTGAAGCACAGTGGTAGTGCACGGTTGGATTGGCTCAGTGAGTAAGAGACACCTCCATATTTCTATACTTTAAGGCCCCCCCGCGGCCGGGCACACGTTACGGATCAGGAAGTGATTGATTTCCAAAGTAAATTGAAGCAACAGAACGCCATAAAATTACACTCCTTTTTGTCCAACCTTTTAACTGGGGTCAATCCGCCCACCCGCCCAGTCAGCCATTTCGTTGTCGTTGTCGCCGCTACCAGATGGGTTCAACCTTCGCAGAATCTCGGCAAACAAAAAGAACTCTCTACCGCCACTGAAACAAATTCATCTCCCACCGGAGAAAAACATCCTGGTGGCCATATTCCCAGCAAACCTCCTGACCGCACCACCACCAGAGCTATTCAACGCGGAGCCAGCAAAGGAACTAGCATTCCCGAACTTATCCGCCCTAGAAAACGCCACGCCGTTGGTGACGCATAGGATAATAGCAATGACAACGAGGGAGAGCCAGATGAACTCGAACCGGACGATGGCGATGATAGCCAGAAATACCCACAGCAGTGGGACGACGTATATGGTAAGCCAGAAGGAGCGCGAGTCTGTAGCGTTGATCTGGCGCGTCTCGTCGGGGGATTCAAAGACCCAGGTTTGCTCACCGGTCTCTGGGTTCGTCTCGTTCCACCAGCGGAGGCCGACGAGACGGCGGCCCGCGATGTTCTTGCAATAGTAGAAGTCCGCGGCTAGGAGGAGAATTACAATTATGAAGATCAGAACACTGTGGAGGATGCGTGTCAGTGAGTTTTTTTTTTTTGTGGAAGCGCCAAGTGAGGGGAGGATACAATTTCGGAGAGAACCAGAGGCCAAAGAGGTATGTAAATATTGAAGCTATTCAGGTGATTTATTATTAGCTATGGATGCGCCGGGTAGGAGGAGGAGGAGGAGGAGGAGGGGAAGAGCAGAGATCAAACCTAGACGAAACGCAAGAAAGAAACCGAGCGTTAGCGGATGAGCTGAAAGCCGCCAGCTAAAGGCGCCCGAGTGCTGTGATCATTAGCAATAGGGACTATCTAGGGGGGAAGTGATTTGGAATAAAAGCTTACAGAGTCCATGTCTTTGTTGAGATGTAGTCGTTGTGCTGCAGCTGTAGCGACTTGGAGGGGGGGGGGAGGAAAGATGGTTGTTGGAGGGGTGATTCGTACCAGTGCTGGTAAACTTCTGGTTTGTGACGCGGCCCGGTTGGTCGATGAGACCTTTGACATTTTGAGCCTCAGATCCATGATGAGTCAGCCAATCCCAGCGACTTGGCGAGGACACCCAGTGGGTGACTTAGATTAGGTAAGTGGTCAATGATTTCTGGGCAGATTTTGTTTCCGAGTGCTGAGAGAGATCCTGAAGGCTTAGCCCTCGCCCGTACTTTACAAAAACAAAGAAATGCTGTCAGCCTGGAGAAGTAGAATAGGAATAAATTAGAACCGTGGATTTTGGTCTGGTAATGTGTCCTTGCGGCTATGAGAATGATGGAAGGACCATGAAGTAAATTAGATAGAAAGGAGCATTTTGTGATAACCTGGGGGGATAAGGCGTGATATCACCGAGAGTGAAGATAGTGAGAAAATTTCCTACATTGGGTAGATATCAATCCCCGATATTAGCACTGGATGGACAGATTGGGGAGTTATTCTATTCAACTGTCCGGTAGATGGATATTAGATAGGCCTAAGGCCTGGAACAGATACTGTAAGAAATGCACTGGCCTTCCTTTATTCTTTGGGCGTTGCGACGCACACTCTGCAATGGAGATGGTAAGAATTCAACGGGTTAGTCACGGTATGTGTTAATTCAGGTTTGGTCGGATAGTGAGATTCTATTCCTCGGCAATTGTTATAGGCGACAAATTCCGGTCAGTGCAGCCAATTTTTTTGTCAAACTCTCGAGTAATACAACATTTTACGGCAGCGGCCTGGGATAAAGTCATACTGGGACCTGGGCAGCAAATTTCATCAGGCTCTGGAATAGTAAACAGAGAGGTTTGTGGTTGTGGAGAGCGCATCCAGAGAGAGTATCGGCCTCTGGATGGCTGAGAGATCACAGACACAACTTAACAGATTTCCCCCGTACTTGGGGCCTCAATATAGGATTTTCACCGGCAAATATTGATTGATAGTTGTGTATTCCATGAATGCTAACTAAAAGACCTCAAAGTAAAAGGAAAGATGTGAGCGATTCTCACATTATTCCGTTCAGCTCAAGTTTTCTGTTTTTAATTGATCGGTTGGTGTTTTTGTGGTTGTAATGCTTGTTGCCGGGTTTTTTGTCTGTTCGGGTACCATTAGCTTATTGGATTCAGATAACTGCGAGCAGGGAATATACAAATAATAGAGAGCTGGGGCAGAATGAACATAAACAGACAAGTTTCCATTCCGGGTAGAATAGGTAGTTGAGTTTTGGCCATCCATGTTAGACCTGTGGATCATTGGTGAGCAATCCCAAATGAATTTGAACGAGCCGGGGGCAGAGAGGTTGAATACCCAGTCAAATGTTATTGATTAGATTTGCGAACTGCAACTACAAATCACCCACAGACCACTCTGTAGTACCCTGGCCCTGTGGCACCGGCACCGCAGCTTGGGTAGAAGAGTTAACGGGGAGATTCTCGGGCGCATTTACAGCCTCGTCATGATGCACCACGAATCTCCAGTCATGTGGCAAATTTTGTATCCCACCATCCTCAAGCGCTTCAACAAATGCCTCGCACTGCGCAGAGTCCCAGTACCTAATCACCGCAGTGTTAAAGAATCCATCTAGCTTCTTGAGCCCACAAAAATACCACACCATTCCTTTGACACCCTGAGGACCCATTACCACGCGCCAGCAGGTGCCGTCCCCAGTGCAAGAAATCTTTGCAGAGTAGTTTTTGGGGAGGGTGTCATTGACATTGGTGAAAGTAGCGTAATGGCTATGGTTACCTGGGCAGATTTGATAAATTAATTGATACAGGGTGCGGAGGTTCTTGGCCGACTGGTAATCTTCGTCGGAGAGTTGGGCGGCGAAAAGGTCGGGGTGGAGCGGGAGGGGCACCGGATGAGCGGTAGGGGAGACAACCACATTTCTAATCTCGTCAGACATATCGGTGGTCCGGTTGGGTTTCCGTTTGATTTTGTATTTGGTGAGAAAGAGCGGGTAGAGCGAAAGGGTGTGAAGAACTCAATGCGGGAGTATGGAAAGGGGAATGGTGGGAGAAGCAAGGAAAGCAAGAACGGGTGGGAAGAAGAAGGGTGCGAGGATAGGACAAGAGTGCTTTCCTGCGACATGTCCCCTCTCTGACAATAAGTAGGGTGCGAACTGGGCGGCGAAAAATGGAGTTATGCTTGAGCTAGGTACTCGGGTATGGACGTGGGTGACCGGGCAGTAGGATTCTAGAGGCCTGACCGTTCTTGCCCTCATCTTATTATATAAAACAAGATCTTTCAGAATTACTGGTCACGTGAGCACACGTGCTAGGATATGAGCGATGCACTGGGAACCACCAAAAAGCAACTGGAAAACAATAATTACTCTTACTAGTAGTCCCCCTTCGAGACTTCCAGGGCCTGTTCCTAGTAGGAGATAAAAGAATGAATCTGGCATGAGAATTGCTTGAACAAGCAAGAAGCTTTGACATCTCTAATCCCTGGCTGTCCGGTCACCAACGCCCATACACGGGTATATACCCCATCGATGGTTCTGGCTGACTATGGTACCGGGTTTTTTTTTTAGATTTTTTTAGATACCGGGGTGGGTGACAGCAGGTCCTTAGAAAGATAAAACTCTCGGATCAGGCAAAGCGCCTTACGTCCGAGCTTCTTGATCGATACGATACCCACATATGATATATTATTGTTGACTAGTCCTCATGGTCTAACTGCTGTGCCCCTGGCCACTATTGGCTGACAATACTGGTACGTAGGCTAGAAGCTTGATTCCACATCGGGGCTAGATCTATCAGGCCCCCATCCGCATATCTCTGTGGAGTTACGGAGCGGTAGGCGGGGGCGAGGTGAAGGGGATGTGTTACCTTGGAACCGGTTGGATGCTATGATCTACATGGGATTGAGGCTTTCAGTTGCCACGGACAATGAATTTTCGAGATCCTTGCCGGGAAGATGTGAGCTCATGACATCTCTTCGCATAGGTTGGATCTGTGATGTGGTCTACCGGGAATAGGATCGCTCGAGCTTCAGTATTGCCAAGGCCAGTATACTCGCCAAAACCAGTAGCATTCTTCCAAGGCACTGGGTGCGAATTGCGCCTCCCGCCCTCGGAACTGAGAAAATGATCTACTTTGAATGGTCCTCGTTATAGACAACCGGGGGTACGGTTATATCTCTATCGCCACTATGGGAATTCTGGAATATTTCATTTACTGGTGGGTGGATATAGGGGAGAACCCAAAGGTTATGAGTGGAGTAAAAGCAAATAAAGTTCAATGAAAAATAAATTGATCAGAAAAAAAAAAAGAGTAGGTTGTGATGATTACTTTTTCAGTATGTAAGTGAGAGAACGTAGCCCTATAAATAATCGTTCCAACCACTCGGTCTTTGCCAGCCATCTGATAACATTCAGCCCATTCCGCTCCATCCAGTCAATTCCATTCCATCAGATCCATACCGTTCCATCATGTCCATACCATTCCACCCGGTCCATATCATTCCACCCAATCCATATCATTCCATCCGGAGGTAGTCGGGAAGCTTAAAGATCATTCCATACAACAATGAGCAAGGAACTGGCTCCGGATCGCATTTCTTGATGCTAGACGAGCGTACAGTATATAAAGTAGATCTAAGAAAGGAGGAAGAAGATAAAATAAAATAGGAAAATGGAGCCGTTAAATTATCAACAACTTAATAGCCACAGATTTCTCAATGGACTACTCAATCTCCCGGGGAAGGAACGGAGTCCTAAGAATATGGTTCTTTAAGGGACGTCACTTGGCGACACCTCCAGAATTTTCAGCATACGGTTTACCGGTATAACCGATATGTTATAAACATCTTTCAGTACCACACAGACGTTCCAAAACTGCTTTGATATGTGGGCATAACTTGCATGCGCCCGCCTTGCCGTGTGTTGTTGCTTCCCCCCCTGGCTCCCTCCATTATTTGTCTTCACGATGTTTACTTCCACCTGCCGCTCCACTGTCAATTTGGATTGAAAATGAAACTGCTGAGCTTAGGCCGTCTCTCTAGATTTGCTAAAGGATATATTCTGAATGGATTTAAAGTCTTTAACACCGAGGAGTAGCTAAGCACTCGCCCCTTAGGTTCCTATCATATCATGCCGCGGTAGTCTGGATGGTCGGGATAACCGAGGCCAGTTTGGGGGTGCATAGACTAGGACGTATGAAGTATGAGTGGGGGACTTCAGCCACTTGTCCATAGCCCGGGAAACAGATGTACGATGGATGCGAGACTTGGGGGGAGGCACAAAACCTCTCGTAAACATCCAGCTTGGCCTTATTGCTGAATTTAAGACGACAAGTTGGCGGAGCGCTGTGTATTGTACTACGTGACTCTGCGCCCTCACCGTTATATTTTCTCGGGATTCTCACACCGCATCACCCGCTGACTCACTAACTTACAAGGCAATTTCTTTTCCCGCCAACCCTAAATTTACTTGGAAGAGATGCAGGGGGTGAAAAGAGAGGAGAAAATAGCTGAGAGATAGAGATATCTTCTGCAGAAGGGCTAGACACCATGCTTCCCAAACAGGGTTAGGTGGAAGCTAGCTGATTCTGCTTGGGAATTTGCCTCCTAATGTTAAAACAAGTTAGTGAGATATCATGCTAGATTCTGTGGCTCAAGAGATTGAAGCGTAAAGCTCTTTTCCTTTATTACTAACTTAACAGCTTTAACAGCTCCGAAAAAGTTGGGGCGAAGTAAATGGAAAAACAAAGATCCGCTATCAATAGGTCCAAATTTTATTTGCTTTTTTATATTAATTATTTTTTTCTTCTTGGTGATATTTCTGCCTTGGGGCGAGGTAGCCCTAATACTCATTTAAATTGCCCCGAAATACCTTCCTGTTCCATTCCAAAAAGCCATCTTAATGTGCAGCATTGAACCTCTGCCACCTTTAGTCACCTAACTTCGCAACTCCCTCCAGAACCTGGCCCATATCGTTCCTACAGAGACGCCAAAATCTGCGCTGCGCTGAGTCGCTGCCGCCTGTGTTCCTTCACCTTCCCCGGAACTCCTGACCGATTCCGTTTCCGAAAAGCGACGGAAATATGCGTGACGTCGAGCGGTTGCCTCTTGTGTTCCATCCTCTTCAGAACTCTCGGACCGTTCCGTTTCCAAAATGTCGTCAAAATATGAATAGCGTTGAGCCGCGGGCTCCTGTGTTTCTTCATCTTCAGAGATATCGGCCTGTTCCGTTTCCAAAATGTCGTCAAAATATGGATAGCGTTGAGCCGCGGGCTCCTGTGTTGCTTCATCTTCAGAGATATCGGCCTGTTCCGTTTCCAAAATGTCGTCAAAATATGGATAGCGTTGAGCCGCGGGCTCCTGTGTTGCTTCATCTTCGGAACTCTCGGACCGTTCCGTTTCTAAAATGTCGTCAAAATATGGATAGCGTTGAGCCGCGGGCTCCTGTGTTTCTTCATCTTCAGAGATATCGGCCTGTTCTGTTTCGGAAGAGTCGTCAAAATATCCGTAGCGTTGGCCCCCTTCCTCCTGTGTTTCCTCGTCTTCTCTAGAACTCTCAGCCCATTCGATTTCCGGAAAGCTGTTAGCGTAAATAGCGTGGAGCCGTTGCCTCCTGAGTTCCCTCATTTTCAGAACCCTCGGCCTGCTTCGCTTCCAAAAAGCCGTCAGAATATGTGCAGCGTTGAGCTGCCTCGTGAGTTGGTCCCTACTCATTTCCCATGGGTACCAATTTCTCCCTTCTGTAAGGCAACCTTTTACCACCAAGACCCCACTTCCATTCAATGGGATCCCAGAAAACGAGCTGACCGATCCTGGGTGGCACGACACAAGGTGGATTGAATCGTTCCCTCCGTATCCTTCAAAGACTCTTGTCAAACATCCTAGGAGTTCATATTGTCCTAGGTTCCATGCGTCGTGGAAATCCAACCTGTCACAACGGAAAAGCTGAGTAGAGGATAAGCACGCTGCGACTCTCAAGTTCCTGTCAAATAGGAAGGCAAACCTCTTGTGACTTCCGCCATAATTCTGCATATTCCTGTGGCTGGGGGAAACAAGTTCCTAAGTTGATGAGGGATACAACGATTAAGGAGACGCTTCGTTGAGCCAAATCAATCCCTTCGGCACCCCTTCCCTCTAAGCCCATAACCATATTGCAGAAACTCAGACAAACCTTCACCAGAAACTGCTGGTACCGGAAGCGTTCCAGAGCCGACGACCTATATTTTCTTTCCCATCTATGGAAGTATAACCGATGCCAGGATTCCGGGATGAGAAGCTCATAACGCCGTACCACGGAAATCTAAACCTGTTAGCGTCCAACCCCGAATATAAATTGTCCGCATACCAAAGATAAGGTCAATTCCTCATAAAGAGAAATGATGGAGGCGGAGTAGCAGTTTAGTGTTTCTTTCACTCTTTCAAGAGCGCTTAGAATCTTGCAAATGTTTTCACACTTTGCTAAGGTTAACCAATTAACTGTAGAGTGGGTGGTCAAGCCAAACATACAAATCTTCCGGGAAAATCACCGGCTTCAGTTTCTGACAAGAACCGATGGACTAAAGTTACTATTTCTGAGCCATATTTAAGGCTCCCATCCCCCCTATTGATCATTTGAGTGCGCGTCACGAGGGCAGACCTCCACTGCTCTTGGTAGCCTGTTTCTTGTTAGAATACATCTCTACTCGCCTGTAAAAACCTCAGTGTATGATTCCACTTACCCAGAAATAACGATGTTTGGTATTGAGCCAAAAGTGAAGACACACAAGCTCCCACGCCCATTTGAGCAGCTGATTCTATCTGATAATCTGTTGTGTCATCCCTAACTAAAACTGGGTATAGTACGTGGTATTTCCCCTCTCGGGTGACGAGCTCAGCCCTGGTTTCAAGTAGAATTTTGAGGCTTTGTTTGCACGGGGATCTAAACTCCATTTGCTCCAGAAGAGCTACTCTCCAAAATCTCCAATCCCCTGTGCTACATTAGAAAGGAGGATTCCTCGGTAAGATAGAGCGAGGGATCTCACAATTCCGCTGCAGAGAGTCTTTAAGCTGTCTATCATGCTTGACGATTGCAGAAGTTTCTAAGAATATTTGGCAAAGGCGCGCCAACAACTAGTATGCTGTAAGTGAGTGTACTGGCAGAACCTCGATGTAGAGAACCTACGTCTACTCTTTCGGCATTGGTTTCTGTTTGGACCACAAATTGAGAACCCATCTTCTTACTCCAAATTTTTTGCAACCATTCCTCAAGTGAGACGAGAGGAGGAATAATATCTCCTGAAATATGGCTTAATATATTGTCTCTCAGCGATTCAATACCCACTGGCTTGCATGGGAGCCGTGGTTTAGAGTTAGCATGGAGTGGAGACCACTCCAGGACGATGTATCCGCCTGGCTGACGAGGCATCTCGTAAATCCCGCAATATAGTTGAGCTGAAGGTGGGATTGTCCCACCTGAAGAGATTACCTTCAAATCTCTAAGAACGCGCTCGATATGATCAAGCGGAGGGCGGAATCTGCTGCTTGGATATGCACCCCTCGTTGCCTATAGGCGAGTTAGTGGGAAACCCCGAATAAAAATCTCATGGAACAAACCAGAATATTCACGTAACCAGTGATCTGCGGATCACCAAACTCCCCTATTTTTACACTGATCCTTCTCCAAGCAGAGCTATCGAGAGCTTGGCTGATATCTTCCCACATACTGACAAACGAATCTATTTGTGGGCTCCCTCTCCCAGCGGCCGTTCGTAGTACTTTATGGATTCCTCCATCCCCCCCGGTTCTGCGCAAAGGATTGGTTGCCATATGCTCTGCTTGTAAAAACTTGCACGCCACGTTCAGGTGTGCAACCTGTTCTTGGTTTAGATCTTGTAGCAAGTTTTTGTCGCTAAGCAACTGAATAGATTTCTCCAGAAGCCCATAATTGACCCCAACCTCATAGGCTTCCATGTATTTCCTGTCATTAGAGAGCAATCCGAAAAGTTTGTTCATCAGGTTAAATCTTGACAAAACCATTTCTTGTTCCTCCGGAGATCCAAAAATATGGAGTGTTCGTCTTTCTAGCTGGCCTGGAATCGTGTCGCTTACTCCAAATTCTTCTAAGTAACCGAACAGAAGATACTGTTTCCAACAGCAAGGCTCGATTTCTGATTTAAACCTGCTCTCAGTAGTTAGCCAGCCCCACTGCCTCGGAGCTCCGAGAGTCAAACAGAGGAGGTGATCTGGGATGAACCTTCTGAGATAATTAAGCATCCATCTGAATTGTTTCCCACGAGCATATCCCGCGAGCGCTTTCTGATGCTGGTTAAGTTTGGTATATAATTCGCCTGTTTCTGAAAACAAGCCAACATCCGCGGCAAGCCAGGCCGCATCCTCATATACTCCATTATCCGCAAGAATTCCTGCATCATTTAGGCCTTAATATCCAAATATTCCCCTAAGATTTACTCACTAACTGCACCCTTTGGATCGCTTCCTTCCTTTCGAGATTGAACTGCCTTTGCGACACTACCGGCCTGTAGGAAAAATTCTGATGCTTTTAGGAAATGAAGATTAGCTGCGTCAAATGACCCAAACGCTCTGTTAGTGAGCCCAATTTCTTCAGTAATATACGCGTTGGACAATGTAATGCCATGAGGATCTTCAGCATTCTCAAAGCAATGGAGAGCCTAGAAGATAAATAATCAGTCTTGCTCTTTGAAGACGCAGCAGGTACCAACGAACCTCAGAGTATTGTTGGCTGTCAATCATTTGATACCCCATTTCCCTCCACCGGAGTGCACTGATAGTCCCCTCGGTAGACAACCGCCTATGCAACTCCGAAACCTAGTAATGTTAGAGAAGATATCTCGGCGGAAGTCCGGTGCATACTCCTATATTATCTTCTGTTAAAACATCTAGCATGGCGTCAGGGTATAGGTCCGGCTGTAGCAAGGTGGCTGTTTGATTGAATAGACGTTGTACCGGGTCTAGGATACGTGTGCTGGTTTCCAGTATCCATAGCCTATTGCGAGCTCTTGTCACTCCGACGTATAGATGCTTTGCGCGCGAGAAGAATTAACAAATAAATTTAGACTGAAACAAGGATGCCACAGCTGTCAAATCACCTTCAATTCTGAGAAGAGGATCTGTGGCGCTATTAGTAACTCTTTTACGGTATAAGTCGTTAGTTACTCACGATATTTTCTTTTTGCCAGTCCTTGTGGCTCCGCGGGTAAGCAGATGTATCATGTCCACTTCCGGGCGCAGCTCTCCGTTTGAAAAGCTCTTCCAGAACATTCAATTTATGTCTGTACGGGCTTGTGCTAAGGAAATTATAGAGAAAAACATCCTCGAACTCCATGCCCTTACTCTGGAGGACAGTCAATACCAACCAAGACCTCCCCATCTCGGTTCTAAGTTTGTCTCGTGTTTCTTCATCCCGCACCAGAATAACACGCACTTCTCCATTATTACCTGTCCTGAATGTTGGGCCATCCGATTGCATAGGGTTTTCCATTTTCTCCTCGAACCTTAGAATATCTATTATATTATTCCCAACTTCCAAGGTTAGCTGCATAGGGTCACTCCGGAGGGGTAGTTACTATAGAGAGTAGGTTTAGGGCCGGTTCTATCCCCAATTTCAGAAGGTGGTTCGTCTACCAAGTCTGGAAAGCCTGAATTGCTTCATTAGTATGAAATAGATACTAGAGTGTGCTGGGGAGTAGCGCACCTCTATACAAGAGGCGCATAATGAAGGAGGCAACACTCAATATCTGTTTATTAGACCTAAAGTTGTGCGATAGGACTAGCGGTATTGGCACTAGACCCCTAGCACTGCTAGTGCTGTCCCAGAAGCGCTCATGAAACAAGGATTTCGCATTTGCAAAACGGAAAAGAGCGTCTTTGGATATACACTGAGCTGTGTCGCCCGCTGTTCATTGGTGAGAGCCTGCCGCCAAGATGAAAGGACAGAAAATGGAGAGAACCATACCCAGGTGGATACCCAGAGGAGATCCCACTAAGGTCAAAAGCATTCTTATGTCTAACGTTCGGTGATCCTGGACCCCTGCTTGTTTTTTAATACCCCTCCCAAAGTCAGACTGCTGGATGTAGAAATGCTAACCATCCACGTAGATTTCGTCTAGTATGCTTCGAATTTTTTGTTCGAACACATTATCTGAAAGTACCTCCGAAGACCTGAATACCGCTAAGGTTTTCGTAACTCCGACAATTCTATCCGTCTGATCAATGTCGCCGCGTTTTTTCTTAGTCCGCTCATACCATTCGTATATGCTATAGACAGCGTCTCTCTCCCGATGTGAGGCAAAGTTCGGGGCCAGTCTCCAACGCTTTCCTAAATACTCTTCGCGGGATAAAGGCCTGAGGTCTGCTGCTGAAACCGATCCCTTGATGACTCCCATAATTTCAAGAAATGCTAAATCCACCCGAATACCCCTCTTTAATCTAGGAGACAGGCGATCCCAGTACTCGATCCTAAATTTCACGAAGTCGATTATGCGGCTGCATTTAGAGTTGTCAATCTTTATGTATCTTCGCTGGTTTTCTTGTTCTCTAAGAGTGGCTTAGTAGGTTTACTATAAAGTATCAATTTAAGCAGAGGAGCAGCAAACCTAATACTATTCTCGATAAGTGTTAACAGGCAATCAAAAGTGCATATCAACGGGAAATCCGCATTGGTGAGTGATGAGAATTGTTTTCTTGTATTGTCGTCAAGACCGCCATTTCTGGAATAATTGCTCTCAGTTACCCTTTTCCTGTCACCCAATTTCGCCTCAATCAATCCATCAATACTAACTCCCAACTTCGACACCAATCTCTTTGACTTGGTGAGTAGGACCTATGGTTGTTAGCCTAGCCAAGGTTACACTCTCAGAGAGTGGGCCAATATCAGACTCCTTGCAATCACATACTTGTCTCAATGGTTCTCCTTTCTCTATACTATTCAGGTACCTCTGTAACGGGGAGGACGGAGCTGGGAGTAGCCAAGGGGTGTTGAGAGTTGGGGCGAGGAACGAGCGTGCTATCGGAAGCAAATGTAGAACAGGACCGGGACAAGATACACGGGTGGGAGCTAGGAGGGCAGGCGAGGACAAGGATCCAATAGCTGGATGGGAGGCAGAGTAATAAAGGACCGTGATATCAGAGAGTAAGGAGGAGGACTGGAAAGAAGATATCTTTAGGTTGTAAGAATACAAAGATACAAACTAAAGAGCAAAGGAAAAGAAGAAAGGAAAGTATATAAAAACAAGTACCTTAGTACTTTTTTACCAAACAAACAAAACATGGTGCTAGGGCTACCCATCGGTCTTTGTGCTTACATCAAGTACTAACCTATACCTCAAGCCATAGCTCAACTTTTACTTAGTATTAACCAGAAACCATAACAACCTCCCAACTAGCTTATAAACTAAGCAGGTAGTTTTCCCTGTCCCGCTGCTTCCGCGAACGAATGCTGGCGTTATAAAGTGATCCACCACCGTGGCCTCCTCCGCTGATAGTACCACCGGACATGCCACCTTCCTAGCCGTAGAAGAAATATTGTCTAGAATGGCTGTAGTGAGACTATAAAACTTCTCTACCAACCGCAGATTTAGCACCCTCATGCAAGAGCAATTCGAATGGGGGATGTTTTTCCTTCCTTACCTAGTCGAGGTGGACCCTCGATAACACCACGTTCCTTGCCGTCTAAGCATACCCTCACTGGATACCTGATCCCCCGCGATCTGTCCAGTTCGCCTCTCTTGCAAGCACCCACTTGAGCTTTCGTGTAAACTTGTTGCGCCCGATGAATCTGCACACCGGTCCTTCCGAGCTGCCTCATCTTAATATCACCGCACCAGCGTCATTATAGGACTAAATACCCACATTTTTGTGTTTCCCGATAGCCCATACTAAATGGTAGTTGCTTGTCATTAGTTCGCTGACTGTGAGGCCAATTCCACTGGTGTCCAAACCTTTTATCACTTGGTAATCTTCGCTAAACCTTTCATCAAAAGCAGTATCGATTTGCCACAGTATAAACGACCCAGTTTTGTAGAAAGCATTGAATAGAGGGATTCGGTAGTTTAGTGAGTTTTCCCACTTAGCCCTATGGAGTATCTTTTTTCCAGCCCACTCTCCAGAGGCGAGCTCGTAGAACTTGCGACGAACATTTTCGAAGTTTCCTAACGAACATCAGCAATTTTTAGGACCCTTTGGCCTTACGCAAGAAATACCCTGAGCGTTCTCTTCTCCCAAATCCTCCATTGCCTGTTGGGAAAGAACTATCTTCCATGGTCCCAATGGCTCGCCCAAAAGGTATTCGAATACATTTGACTCAATGACTGGTCTGAGAGAGTAGTCATGGGCTCCTGTAGGCTCCCCCTCGGAATTCTGGCTGGGTCCGCAATTGAAGGAAAAATTGGTGGTACAGAATTCACAAGGAACGGTACGAATAAACTTTGCCAGCTCCACGCCACCGGTTCTCCTAGGCCCCGACCTGTGAACCCGGCATCCCTTGCAGAGATCTGTAATAAATTCAACCCACCGCTCCTGGGCCCGGGGTTCAGAAATAAGATCTTCAAAGCGTCGTTGGTCTGTCTGGGCTAGCTTTTTTATGTGCTCCTCTGCAATCAAAATCCGCAATATCTCGGGGAGACCCCCTAATCTCACCCCAAACTGCCCTAAAGTCCTCGGGTCCGATAGGTTTACGACAGAGATGACAATTCTTGCAACAGCGCTCCTAGATTTCCTGCCATCGAACTTTTCAGTGAGCAACGAGAGAGTAAAGGCTTTAATAATTTCCTGTAATAAAGAGGTACTGTAACCATATTGCTGGAGACTGGGAAATTGACTTAGCAGGTAGCCAAGGTTATTTCCATAAACTTCTATTCTTGAGAAGAAATTTTTGAAACGCTCCTCCTTCAAGAGAAGGTCAAAGATCTGGTAAGGTTCTGAATCCAATGATTCGTATGCGGCTTTAAAATCCCTCGGAGTCTCAGAAAATATGAACTCGAAGAATCCCGTGCTTGGATTCATCTTTGCAGTGGGGGCTTATAGCTTGGTAGAGTGAGCCTGAATCCAAATGGTTTGAATAATCTCGTTCACCAGGAAGGTATCAGAAACAGAGGTACAAAGGCAGTAGATCTCCGACCACATTTCATCCTTCGTGCGCGCACAGGCCCAGCTAAATTGTCCCTCCAATTGAGCAAACACTGGTTTTAAGGCCCCCCATTTTTTCGCGGGTTCGCCCAAACACACCGGTACCCTGGTATATACCGTATAGCGGGCACCAACCAAAAGGGGAACGGCGCAAGAAAACCCGGGAGTCGCTCGGCGTGGCACAGTTTAGCTAGGCGCAAGCGAAGGCTAGGCGATCACAGCTTGCAAACTGACTAATATGGGTACGGCCGATAGGATATAGTCTGATAAGAAAATTTCGGTGCACCTTTTGGCTGGGATGTGTCCTTAGATAAGGCACGTGACGGATATATTTATCGGCCGCACTCGTAGCATGCCCCGAGCTCTTTCTGACGTAATCACCTTTAAGCGCTGTGGTTGGTCGGTTTGCAAATCGTGGTTGCCCAACCAGTGTTGCTCGCGACGGGGGACAGGAAACTGATACTGTCATGTCAGCGACGGGGGGTCATGATAGGGTCAGTAAAGGGGGTGACGGGTGTCGATAGCTGGGTAAGGGTTTATGTACAGTATGTTGAATTTTCATTCGAGGTATTTAATAGCTTATATTCGGTAATAACGTATATTCGGTATTACCGGGATAGTGGAAGGCGCTTCCTCAGCTCTTTCTGAGGGGAAGGGCTTCTATGGAACACTGGATAATGTCCTACTTTCTGAGTACAGAGAATCACTTTCCCCCGTTGAGCGTAGCAATTGGTGCATTCATTGCCCTTCTGACCACTCAGAGGATCTATTACTAAGCATGACACCCCATCATGATACCCGTCGCGAGCAACACTGGTCACAACTACCGCCATTATAGGAATAAAGCACTACCAAGAGGGTAAGTAGTAACGCCACTCTCACCTTTCAAGAACCTCAAGACGCGGCCGCAGGGTGTACTAGATGTGTCTATCTATAATGCTTCAGTTTCTCCCTTATCAGAAACTGTTCAAGTACTATTCGCTAGATAACGGGAAAAAAATGATCCATACCTAGAGCTGAGACTTCCAGGAAGAGCCTGATAGGTCTTAACAGGGATTATAAGGATAGGAATATTAGCCCAAGTCCTCCGAAGAAACAACACTAATTATTTAATGATTTTGCTAGCTTCATAGGACGTAGCGATGCCATATACTTTCTCCAACTACTTAATTCACTATACCTCCTGTACTATTGTAATAACTTTTGTTTGAAAATACTTTCCCTTCCCTATACGGAACAGAAAAGGATTGAGAAAAGCAGGGTCATTGCACTCGCACACTTGGTTATCCCCAGAATATTTGAAGGCGCATCCTAACAAACCTCGACAATAATGGCAGAACTAGAAATCCAGTGGCGTAACTGGGTTGTCCCGCCAGGGCCAACACCTAGTAAACCCTCGAGAGATGGCCATTAACGGACACCGGTTACCAGGCAACCCCCAGCGCTCAGAAATCCGTTGTAAGGAGTCTCATTATCCGACAGGGTTAGGGTTCAGACTCTGAGAACACGGTTGAGACTCGGAGGACACGGTTGAGACTTAGAGGACACGGTTGAGACTTGGAGGACACTAGGAAATCTCTGTACACTAGTCTTCAGTATATAAGAAGACTTGTCCTTCCTTCTCCTGTATGTAAAAACTACAGGAATTCTTTTCATCTCTGAATCTACGCTGTTACTACAATCTACACTGTTGCTACAAAATCCTCTCTGGAATTCTTCTCTTGATTTTGCAAAGTATGTATGATACCCTGTAACCGAAACTAATTTCATACATTTCCCTTGTCTTGTCCTGCTCCCTATCAAATATTTTCACACCCCAATTCGTCTATTGTCTTAGTTGTATTTCCCTTGCTCTACTGGATGTTTTTCTGTTCCAACTTTTCCGGACGTTTTAAGGGAGTCCTTGGAACAAAATATTATATACTAAAAGTGCCGGTACTCAATGGGATATTGCAGCCCCAATAGGCACAGTGCCACCGCGAGGAAGTTCTCACACTCTAGGAGAGGCGGAGAGTTTCCAATCACGAATAAGGCCGCACAAACGCACCAGAATAGGAAATCATCCCGCAACTAAGTGATTGGTTTTGAGTGCGTGGATGGTAATACGAAAGCCCTGCCCTAGTTAGCTGCCGTTACCTTCTGTATTCGAGGAGGTAGAAACAAAGAATCTAAATCGGCTGATCCTAATATGCTTCTACTCAAGCGCTGTCACCACCTATTCGACCACCGTACCTATATGTAACTGGTGTCTGGGAGTGGGGGACCCGACGGCGAGAGATGAGGAGTCTAGCAGGGCACTAGCGCTTCTAGATACCGGGAACTATTCCAGTCGCTATATCATAACGATATCCGTTATTGTTGATATTTTATACCTATTTCCCCTTCCAGAACCCGAACCCTTATACCAGAGTTTGCAGAGACCAGAACGGATGCTACGGGCCACCTCTCCGGGAGCCGGGGGGGGGGTGTAATGGTGTAGTGCGCCTAGGCGCTACTCTCTCACCACCCCCAACCCCCCAACCGTTGCCACCTCCATTTTGGCTTGTAGGCTTTTCTTCGCAGATACCGCCATAGGTGGAGCCCTGGTTAGCGGACGAGTGGCCATGGTGCCGGATTGTTAAGTATGAAGGCTAAATTATGTTGCGAGGATACTGGGTGGAGGACGAAAGAATGCAGCACTACTATGAAGCAACTGGTAACTAAAGACTATAGAGAAGTATGAAAAGTACCGTCGCTCATCCCACTCCAACAAACGGTAAAGACAAGTGTATATCTCAGCCATCATCCAATCGTCTCTACCCTTCCACCGATCACCACATAACTCTCTTGTCCTCCATGCATATCTCCGCTCCCTTGCACACTCCCGTGATAGCAAATGAAAGACATGAATAAAGAACCCCCTCCAAATATCCCCGCATCCCCGAAACGAAAAGAAACCACCAATCAACCTTCTTGCACCTTCCGTGATCATCCACAACACACAAGGCTTCTCTTTCTGCTTCTACAAATTCGGCCCCCTGCAGCATGACTAGTGGCGATAGGAGATAAAGGTGACTATATTAGTCCTTACCTGCCAGCCGCCTATTATGTGGATACTTCGCGTCGTAGTGTGCTCCGGGCCACAATGAGGAGCGTGATCGATCGTCTGTTCTAATCGGGGTTCTCACCGAGTGATATTTCATGAACAGCCTTGCATAGCACATTTTCAGGCTCGGTCAAGGCAGTACTCCGGCCATCCAAGGTGGGGGGTATTTGTGGGTGTTTGGGGCTTACGGGGCGGCCTATCCATTGGCAAGAACTACTTTTGATAGGCGTTTCGGTTCTGACGGAGTTACCTTCACTACCGAAGCGAGCAGTGATGGAGGGAGGATTTCCAACGGTAATTTATTATGACGTCGTGCTACACAGCAGTATGCCGGACTGCATTCTTCTGTGCCTGTGGTGATCGGGGAACAAGATCTCCAAGGCGCCCCTATAGAACATTCCATCATTGCGCGAGAACTTTCCGATCTTCGGGCATTTGATCCAGAAATCTGTTAGTGTGCTTCAAATAGTCTACGGTGTTGATGCTACTGTCTCCCATGCGCGCACAAGGAGTTGCTATGGCAGCCTAAGAGCCCGAGAGTGCGAGGTCCTTTCTTTCGCAATCAAATAGATCCCGGGAGGAGTAAGAGAAATATCTGCAAGATACGCTCCTCATGGGGAATACTGGACCTGCATAATTGGTGAATTTCTTGTGTGCCCACCTTGAAGACTATCACGATTTCTTAACATCTCTACTCGCGTTATGTAAGGCACTAGTGATTTTCCTAGGACACACGTCTCTTGAAGAGAGAAATGGAGTCATTTATTCGCAATTGTAGTGATCTTGTATATTATACCTTCTATCGTGTTAGTGGGTACCGGTAGGCATGACTTGTACGCCTTGAGACCCACAACGTTATCGCCAGCTATGATGTTCGTGGCTTCTATCAAAAATTGATATTAGTGTCGGAAATCTATGAGAGTGGGCCGTAGTTCATCTATGTATTAATCTAGGTTATGATACTAGGCAAGGCCGTATAATACCTAGGCTACCCTACAGGGTCTCGGGAATGATAGGGCAGCGAGAACCACCGTCCCCCTCGGATAAGTCAGCTCTTTTGATTCAAATGCGATATCCCCTCCAAGGAAGATGATGGTGCTTGCTATCCTACCGTTCTCAGCACCCTACCAAATATCATAGTTCGGCATTATCGCTTGCTCAATGGGAAGGCATAATTATTTTTTTGCCCAGTAAACAAACTACGGCTTGGCAAGGCAATGGGTGAATGAAACAACCACAAAGCATTTCCCAAACCCTCCTAGCGAACCAATATTTTGACCCTGAGATTCAGTCCTTTGCCAAAGCCAACAGGGGGTTTGCCTCGCTGGGTTACAAAAGTCGGCTCACACTGCCGTTCTTGAGTTGGGTTTTCATACTGAACAGAGCGAGGAAATCCATTCAGAGAATGAGGATACCAGTGGCTCCAGCTGCGAAATATCATGGCTAACCTCTTTTCCACACGGCGGAGACAAAGTCCCTGATTTGTATTAATAATTTCAATCGTTGACTTTTTTTTCGTATAATAATAGTGCGGTCACCGGTATAGTGCAATTATCGCTCTTAACTACTGATGGAACCCCCGCCCCCGAACTGTGGTTCCAAATTTCACTCTAGTTGAAGCTGTACTTCTCCTGGGTGGTGGTGCAGAAATTGTGACTTCCATAGCGGAAGCGATAGTTCTATCGGCACAGTTGAATGCCATTACGGTATTTCTCCCATCCCCACCTCCTGCGACCACCGACCTCAATGTTTTTGGACTTGTTCATACAGACCACCTGGGTTCAGCTAGCGAGCTCCGAGAGCTAGAATGAGTCAAAGACGAGTTCGGGTTTGGGGGCTCCCGCATAGACTCAAAAGCAATATAGTGGTATTCCCTGCTCTCCATCGTCATATAAACCAAGCACAGATAGAAATTGACAATATATATATAATATTACGACATATGTATCCCCGCCATTGTACAGATCAAACGGGCTACCTTTGGGCCCTCTCTGGGAAGACTGACCGAACAATTTGTAACCCCCTCAAGAAAACTACACTGATATGGGTATAATACCAACAAAGAACAACTCGGTTAGACTACAGCATGGGCCAAGTCCAAGGCTTCTGGAGGAATAGTAAGGGGCCCTAGAAGGTTGCCAGGTTTTTACCACCTTTTGCACTGCCCGATTACTCGAGGAGACCCATCCCAGCCCCAAGACGATTCCGCAAGGGTCACACCATGGGGATTCCTCTCTACACTAATATCACTAACAAATGCCAGGATAGACTCTCGGCTTTGCTCACCCCAGTAGTGACCCAGATAATAGGATCTTTTTTGATTTCTTTTGATGTCATAGGAAATAGGTGCGGCACTGAAGCCGGGCAAGAATAGCTCTTAGCCTGTGTCGCGCGAGGCTTGTGATAAGGGTCTAACTTAAAAATAAATTCAGTATGATACCAGTGCGTGCCGGGCAAACAAGCACAGCTCCATCCTCGCGCTCTAGTATCTTACTCGCACCCACCAAGGTTATAGCTCGAGCCCCACAATCCCCAATCGCTTGCAAGCACCTTTTTCGGAGGGCCTCTCCACTCAAATAGTGCCAAATAGCTCAACATCTCCTTGTGGCTCAACACGAATTTATGGCTCAAGATTTCGGCTTATCACAACTTACGATATCTCGAAAGGTTCTCAGTAATTTTGATCTCCTCTCATTTAAGTCATAAGCGGGAGCTCTATCATAAACATTTGGTAAATCCATGAACCATAGATCTTATATTTCTCTTTGCCATACCAAAATTTCGTACTTCACTCATCTACTGCTCCTACCAATTCCAAGAGCCTCCAGTATAACACCCGATGCGTCATAGTCCGGCTCCTAGAACCCCGATTGGATTCCATCACGTGACTAGCTCAAAGTCGAGTTTCTCGCGCAGGGTCTTTCACGGGCCGTTGCATTGCGCAAGCGCCCAGGCGGAACCCTCCCTAAACAGGGAACATTTTGCTGTATCATACACGTCCTGTGCTCGTACAATACCCACCGCTTGTTCTGGGGTGGCATGAACCCGATGTTTCGCCAGATGGCAAAGAAGGGGAAGTGCACTTCCCAGGACGGCACAGTATACCGCTAAAGCAAGCTAACCCCGGCGACGCAAAAGCCATGATCATATATCCGCCGAGCGCGCGCAGAGAAAGGAGCTATCATAGGAGCTGAAAGCGGGCCTGTATGATACCGTAGTCTAGATCTGGGCACCGGCCATCATGATTGGCCTAACCACTTTTAAACGATGTCGATGACAATACCGAACTTGCAACTAGGGTACAGTGTTGTCCGGTATCCGCAGCGCCGAAACGCGAAAGGAACGACTATTGCGCATCACCCAGGCGCGAGAAAATGGGCATCCGTTAGTGATCATCTTTGGGAACGATCCGGGACTGCGGGTACACGAGCACCTCCCCGCGCGTTGCCAATGCGGGACAGCAAAAGAGCCTCAAGTACTACTGCAAGGGGTCAAAAGAAATGCGTTTACGGTGCGGCATTGATATAGAACAAAATTTAGATCGGGTTTTAGGCCATTACACAAGCGCTAACTCTACAAACTTGGATTTACCTGTAGGTGTCAACGAAACCAGGCAGGAGTCCTAGGATCAACTAGTAAGAACTTAATACTTCTTCCTTACAAACGATTGATGCTTCGGAGGTATTAAATGCATCATTTTTCAGACCATTTTCAGCTCCGATCTAGAGTACTAGCACTTGGATATTCCAGCTTAGCCCATATAATACAATGCAGCCGGTTAATAATTACATGAAGGGGGGGGCTACTAAAAAAACATGGACTGTCGAGAGTGGGGGATTGAAAAGAGGTAGGGAGAGGTGGAGGGAAGGAAGAGGTCATTGTTGGGTAGTGAAACTGGTACTACCCGTATCAACCCTCTGAATCCTCACAGTCCCAGCAGGCATTTCCGACACGGGAACCTCTGCTTCCAGCTCATTCACATCAGCAATTGCAGTCCCCCAGACAGGTGAGCTATACCCGGCAGACTCAAGGCCCTGCCCTCCTCCGCCCCCGGCCCCAATCTGCGAATCCCACTTGGTAACCGGGTACGATCTGACCTCAGACCCTACGAACGTCTCCTTGTCGCTCCAGGTTCTGTTTTGGACTATCTCTTGCCCTTTCACTCCCTCATCTCTACCCACATAAAGCTTCTTACGGCGCCTGATGAGGTAGAATAAGGCGAAGGATAGGAGCGCTATTCCGGATACCCCTCCTAGGATAATTCCGGATACTGCGCCAACACTGAGGGATGACTGTTGGGGGTTAGCTCTCGACGTTTCTATTACTTGTGAAGTATTGCTTGCGGATTACGGCTCACTTACTACTACTCCAGGTTCTTTTCCGGGTGGTGCTGGTGATGGTGCAGCAATTCCTCCCAAACCAATCGAAGTTTCCGAGGGACCAGCAGATTCCCCCGGTATCCAAATCGTAGCCATTGTTGATGATACTCCTGAGGATCTGGTGAATGTCTTAGATGCAGAAGATGGTGTTGTTGACGTGGAGGAAGCTGAAGCCAGAGAGACCGGCCCATCTGCAACGGGATTCCTGAAAGTTTTTGGGACACAGATATTTATCTGATTTTCTACATCCGTGCAACTCTCGTATTTCTTATTGCAACACCAAGCTATGCGCAGTCAGCTACCACCATTCACCTATTGACCCAAGAATCTCAGGAGGCTATCGCCAACTCACTAGCTCCTCCCTTCTCACAATAAATCTGATCCATCCCCCCTCTGTTCCCTTTACACGCCTGCGTGCCCCCCCAACAATATCTGTTCACCATCGGCTCGTTAGTTAGCAAACGTCCTGGCCGGGCGAGTGGGTTGATACATACTCATCGTGCGGATCGCAGCACCAAAGAAGCCCCGCATCTGAAGCATACGCACACATTCCATCCTTATCACCTACAGGATCTACCCTAACAGTTCAGCCCAGTTCCCTCCCAACAACAAGGAGAAGAACAAACCGCAACGCTTCGTCGTTCCTTCAAACGTGCAAACACCAGGATCCTGCCGTACAAAGAAATCCAGACAACGACCCGCCCGCACAAACAGCGCTACGGCCGAAAAAGTCCAAAAAAATTCAGAAGTTTTCATAGTTTTTGAGATGAACGAACAGATGAATGAGCGAGCGAGCGAGCGAACCAACAAGTGAATGAATGGACGAGACACAATCTATGTCTCCTCATTCCAAGTCCTGCAGGTGAGAAACAAGGAAAAGTAATATACAGGAAAAGGTAAGTGTAAAAGAGCCTAGGATTGTTCGGATCGATGTGATAAGAAGGTACAGTAGAAGGGTATTATTGGAGGAGTAGCAGAAGTGAGGGGGAGGGGGAGCAAACTCGAGAACCATTTATTATACCTGAAGTTGGACAGAGGTTCACCGTGGTTTCCTGCTTTGCTTTATCTACCTTGCTGAATTATGGTGCGTGCGGTACTAGCCGAGATCCCATCCGTTCGCTTGTTCTCATGGATAATGCAACCCACTGCCTTATCTAAGGGTTGCGTGGTATATTCAGATTGGGATTAGAAGTAGATGGCTTACGAATAATACGCGGGCGCTTCTTAGGGAGCGCTTGGCAGTCCATGCGGAATACCAGTAGACGAGTCTTGGCAATAGTCACTTCAGTGCTGGGAGGTGTTAGCGACCGCGGTTGGTTAGGTTTGCTCCACCGTATTTGTAAGCTCCAAGCATAGTATGAGACCGTACCGGGAATAAGGGAATAGGGATCTCAGTCAAATCACCCGGGTTCCTTCAGCGGCTGGGAACTAGGATTCCCTTTCCGGCTAGTATATCGTCTCTTATGATAGTTTGGTTATTTTCGCACTCGTATGTCTCTTCACGGCGCTAGGCATTGCACTAGCAGTAAGGCGTTAAAACCGCAGGGAAAAGTCTAGAAAACCCGGAACAAGAAAAATAAAGCAGAAGGAAAGAATCCAGCCCATGGAACTCTGTCAATATAACCCCGAATTATTACCTCTGTGCGCACACTCTGCGCTTGCAAAATATCCCGCGCCATTGCCTCTACAGGTGCAACTCCAATTCCCGAATGACTAATTCCCTACTCACGGCTATCGATCCAGTACTGTACAGTACAATACATCTCCAGCAAAAAAGGAAATACCTACCTCGCGTAGCCCGATACACTCCTACCGTACCAAATCAACCGTTGCCAACTTACCGAATACTATTTTCCTCTCCGCCACCCGATTTTCCCCCACTTTCCTTCCAAGGGCGCCTATCATGCAGCGCACCCTTTACCCAACCCAAAAACCTGCAGCAGAATACCCCCCGTACACCTCCCATATTCGCTGGCTGGCGGGCGAGGATCAGGTATTTATGGGGTGCAGTCCCGTATCCGCCTCCCTGAAGGTTCTTACCTTGTTTTACTAGCTAGCACAGGGATCTATTTCTGAAAGTAATTATAATTACCCTCTAGCGTGAGTGGGTACAGCTGGAAAACGGGATTTCCTAGAGTGGCGAGTGATCGGTGATGACAAAGCGCTTGCTGGGGGGGTTTTTTTTTCTTTTGGTTTTGGATCTGGGGAGGATTTAGGGCGTTGGTGGGCGAGGATAGGGCGATTTTCAAGCAGGAGGTGGAAACGAGAAGAGGGGTTTCCCGGCTAGGTGGATGATACAGGATGGGTATTTTGTGTGGTTCTACAAAAGTTAAGCAATTTACTCGAGCACCGTCCGGTCCACGTCCCGCTGCGTTGGTTCGGCCTCGGAGTTCATCTAGCACCGCGGTGCTTGCTCGTGCGAGCGCCGTACAGTGCAAGCGTTGTGCAGTACTGTACCATCACGATATGACACCAAACTTGTGCCGCAACCGTCTCACCCCCTGTTTCCCCCGCCCAAGCACAGATGAGGCAGAATTTAAATCTCCTTGACAAGGATACCCCTTGCCCCGTTATCGTTAGTCCGCGGTACCGGGCCGACACACAAAAAAAGCATCAACCCGTCAACGCACAAACCTAGCTGAGCACATTCATCCATTCGCAGCCACCCTCAAGTCCAGCTCGCTTACCAGCCCCGGTAAGCGACAGCACCTGGCACTTCGTCAACTTTAGTAGTTGGTCACCACCGGCTGTATGGTGAGGGACTTCTGTAACCGGAGTAGGCGGGGATTGAGAAAAATTCTGACTAAGCTAAATAGACACCTTATGGTGCAGGGTTTCTCCTAATTGCAAGGGCCAATGGGGTTGGATTTGAGGGTTTGAGACTTACCTGCTTGGCATGCGACTGCTGGCGAGACACCATAGGCCTATCATAGCAATGTTATTTCGATTCCCGATTGAAAGACCGTCAATTTCTGCCCTGCATTGTTACCCTTCTTCCTTCTCCTCTTTTATGAAAATTCCACAAGAATAAATTATAGCCAATAACCAGGTCTACTGTGAGAGCACTACTGCCCCTGTCAACATCACTGTCATCAAGTCAATTTTTACCCCTCCTTCCCCCAACTCAGCTCTATCCAACCCCACCAGATCATCCTCTCCCCCATCGCTTTCTCCTATAACCCAAAACTCGCACGATCCCTTATATAATATATTCTTAAATATGAATAGCTAATGTGTCACGCGCGATATGGAACTCTATCTACACTAACTCCTCTCTCATCTAAGCCGACATAAGAACCCACACAACAGCGACCTGAAGCAGCACCTTCACTGAGAACTCTCTCTGGCTACTCTGTGAAGCTCGGGACGTCTTGCAAGCCCCGCAAACCTCCTGCTTCCACGAACTCAAAGTTTTGATGAAGAACCACAAGGACGCAAACCCGCCCGGGCTTAAGCCAAGCGAGTACTGTACCGTGTCCACGTCATATCCGAGGACAACTTCCCCTGCAGCAGGACTTGCATCATCCGCTGCTGGCTCTTCAGCCTTAGTTCCAGCTATTGCAGATTTTTATGAGCTCCCTGAGTCACTGACGGAGTTATCCAGGGTTGCAAGACAGGGGCCTGGGTTGGCATGCAGATTATCATTGGGTGGATATGCTGTGTGGGAGATGGGACAGGTGGTGGATGGGAGCGATGCGTACGTGGAGGAAGTGGCACCGGCATCTCATGGGCCTGATATGAAAGCCGCTTTTTCCATCGTATCTGCTGCGAAGAAAGGCATTTCTTCTAAAGCTAGTATTGGATATATTGTGAATACCTCTGGGCCCTTCGCCACCGTTTTCGGAACGTTGTTCCCAAGAGGATGGAGGACATGAACGCCACTATTAAGAATCGGGACTTTGAACAGTTTGCTAGTCACACCATGGTAGATTCGAGCTAGTTCCATGCGGCTTGGCTGGCTACTAGACCTCCGATATTCTACTCGAGTAGGGCAAATTATGTGGGGGACTGCCGGGCCGGGCTGGGACCCCCGGGCCCGATACGCTACGCCCTTATCGGTATAGTGAGACACACTAGAAAGGTGAGACACACTAGAAAGTGGCCGCTTAGATAGACGACGGGGGAGGTGGTAGGATGGCCGGGATTGCGCGGGGACTATAGGGGGTATCAGAAGACGATAGGGTGCAGGAAAGGACTGTAGGGTGCAGGGATGAACTGCGGGGGGTGGCCGTAGACGGTAGGTATTAGGAGTGACAGCCGGGCATAGGTGAGCAAAGATGAGGGGGACTGCCGTGCATGGCTCATAACTACCAGGGGGCTCTAAGAACCCTTGTGCGGGGAGGGTCAGGTAATGCGGAGCGGTATGATAGGATACCATGCACCCGGAGCGGGGCGGGGCGATGATCCAAAACCCCGCGTCGCCCTGCCCCGTAAAGAACACTAGCCTACACAGTAAACGATCTGCGCGCGAGAAACAGAAGAAGAGAAGAAGGTTAAATAGATCACGTCCTCCGAGTATTAATATAAGACTGAACCTATTCATTCATCCACGAGCCTTATTTCCTCTTTCAAATACTTCTATAAATCATTCGCAACAAAGCCAAAGAATCGATGAGACAGAGGTTGACTTTCAGCAGAATGCCCGGGATTTACCTGAAGAGCCACCGGGAAACTCAATTGACCATCTTGGGTCGGGACATTCAAAAGATTGCGGATATTCTTGCTGCCTTATCGATCCATGCCAGTTCTTGGGTGCTAGTTTGGCAAAGACTGCAGACTGTTTTATTGGTTAAAAATGAATTCTTACTGGCTTATTAGTTTACGCATATGATACAAGATTTGCAAGATCATAAACCATGAGTAGGATGAAATTATGAACTTGAAGTGTCTGAGCATACCAGCCCACAAGATGCATCGTAATAGCAAAATGCCCCAGGACCCTACCTGCATATCTACCCTAGTCCGTCCATGGACCAGAAAAAGGACGGACTATCACCAGCGGTCCCTCCGGTCCTACCCCGAAGACAGACAGACTGGGTGGTTCGGAACACTGGGAGTGGGCCGGAAAGTACGTAAATGTTGCGCCAGAGGGATACGATAATAGGTCCATCGAGGCATTCAAGGATGGTGTTAGTAGGGTTATCTTCTCTACGGTTGGGGACCAATCAGGACCAATGACACACTGATTAGAACTGATGGGTTGTCGAGCAAGATGTAGAAGGGTTTCTTGTCCTGGAAAACATATTTCGTTAGTTGCGGTGACCGAGGGGAAGAGTGCCAGTGCATTTTGAGGGTATTAGTTGGTCGATTGAAGGCTAGATTTCAACCCGCGAAATATATACCAAGATTTATGTATCCAAACGTGGTCACTCTTATGAATCGAGCGAAAAAACTAAACGGGTATTGTCGGACGGGCCAGCAGACTCGTGGCCGTCGGCGGAGGTCCTAGCCAACTCCCGGCATTGTATCTAGAGCTAAAGTCAGTGATCCGTGTGGGGGGAAATGGCGACACTTGGGGGGGTCGTCATCTAGCTTCTTCAATTACCCGACGGAGTGCTGCTCCTTGTGTCCTACTAATGAAACTAGCCCTAGAATGCTTGCGTCGTCGATCTCCATGCAATCCCTTGTTTGGGCTAAGGACTGGCGTACCGGTATAGAAGCCGCTTGTGAGGTTCTTACTAGGATATCCATTGCCCGCCATGGTAATGTCAGAAATAGGAAGCAGGAAATCATAAGGGGGTGAGCAATAAGTACGAGCTTGGCGACAAAATTCGTTGACCCCCCCCCCATTTTACACCAAAAATAGGTGTTTTCGCTTTGCAAAATCACAGCTTTGTCTCTCTGCAAAAAATCGGAAAATTCACTAGCATTCTTAGTGACATCTAGATATTACTGCCCTTGAGTATCAAGCTGTGTTAATAATTGCTCATGGCACAATTCTCTAAAGCATGAGAGTGGTCCAATGGTACTTCCAATTTTGTATGAGGTTTCCATCCAAAAGGTACATTGCAGCCATGTTCAATCCGGACACTAAGCTCCCAGCCATTATTGTGCAGGGCGAAAATTCTGATAAATTTTTCTCACAAAGCCTAGGTAATATCCTACATTATGGTATTAATTTCATCAGTTCTTTATTGCTTTTGGATGAGCTGTGGTTGCGTGAAATCAGCCACTTTTGGTGTAAAATGGGGGGGGTCAGCGAATTTTGTCACCAAGATCGTACATATCCGTATGCACGGGAAATTCCATCCATGGAAGTTCATATTTTTCAACCATGATCGTGGTCGCTTAGAACCTTGGACCGCGTGAGGGCTCAGCGGGGTGATACCCTCGCCGAGCCATGTCATGACTTGGCTTGCTACTCGTACCGTACCGTACACTACCACCAGATGGGGTGGTAAATATCAAAAACCTTGAGACAAAGGCTTCCAACCGTTGGACTAAATAACCCTATAAGCACCAGACCTCTTGTCAGCTTCACAGGCTCAAACTTGCAGTAAACTTACATGAAAGCTCAAACAAAACCAATCAATAAGCTCTCGAGGGCCTCGCTCCCACTCGATATATCATCCAATATGTGACATCACTCACCCAGGATAAGTTACTGGGAGCTTTCTTCACGGTCATAGTTGTTCAAGCAGCGTAGCCACTATGCTTTTTCTGGGCCCGTGAGGCACTTACTATTCCAAGAGAAGCACCCATTCTTGGCTCGGAGACACGAGTAAACGGAGCACTGGCGCAGCACATCACGTGCCTCTACAAACAAAAGATAATGAGAATTAGTCACTCTTGCCAGGTGGGGGCTCATTGATATGTCACGTGCAACATCCTCCGGACCCAGTCGCTTCCACTCGAGTACATGTACTCATAGCACTGGTACTCGTACAAATAGTAGGGAGTAAAAAAAAGCATATTGATATTACGAGTGCGGCCGATAGATATATTCGTCACGTGAGTCTGATAAGAACATTTCGGTGCACCTTTTGGCTGCGATGTGTCTTTAGATAAGGCACGTGACGAATATATTTATGGGCCCCACTCGTATGATGCGAGTACATGTACTCGTGCCGGCACTGGCGCATTATAGTACGAGTACACATGTACCGGTACCCCGACAAGTCCCTCGGGCTGAATCTCCGAGCGAGGCCGGAATTCAGGATTGAGAGTCTTCACTAGTGGGACCTCCGAGAGAACGGCGGTCGCATGGTTGGGTTTGGGCCAATTGAGAATTAGCTCTTGCATCGGCGCGTAACTGCGAGAGAGGATACCAGATTAATTAGAGACCTTGCGGTTTCGCATCCAGAGTCAAATCCTAGCGACCTCATTGGCCCAGAACCCTGTTTGACCCACATGCAGAGTCTTTTCGCAAAGCCCCTAATGTCACAGTTGGAGGGATGCTTTTGGTGACTGTTGGTCAGATGAGAAGTGACTTGTAACGAAGGAGAGGGAGGTGCTTACTTTGTGCAACGTAAATGATACTGGAGTGCTTTGCTGGTCGCTGAGTGCGGGGTACCAGAGCTGCCACTCCCACATCCCCAATCCCATGCTCAAAAATAGGTGTAAGTGTAACTGGGCTTTAATATAAGGCCTTCCGCCCCATTATCCCCCCCCACCTTGCCTTGGATTTGCGATAACAGAGCACTTTCAATACCAACTTGGATAAAACAGCCTTCCCGCGGTTTAAGAAATAATCGATAAGATGAGCGGCAGACAATCGAACACTTCTTTTGAGGGCCTTCCCTCACCCCGACGGTATGCTCCCAGAGTGTGGAGTGCACAAGTGCATGTTGGCGCTTCAAATCACTAAGGTCAGTAGGTATGACTCCAGCGGTCTGATCAACACCAATATCCAGGGCAATTATAGCGGCAACACCGGTTCTTATAATGTTACGGGTAACTCAACCACCTACAATTATTACAATCAGGCACCCGGGAACTCGCCCCAGAACTACTCCAAAATTGTGCAATGCCTATACACGTCTCAATATGAGAACCATCGAAATCGGGTTCAGCAGCCTGTTGAGGGAACATGTACCTGGGTTACCAAGCACCCACGGTATACGGACTGGTTGAAAAATAAAGCATCCCGACTCCTCTGGCTATCAGCAGATCCTGGCTGCGGCAAATCGGTCATCGCTTCGTTCCTGGTAAAGCATTTGGAAATTCAAACGGACGCCATCATTTGCTATTTCTTTTTGAAAGATGACAGCGATGAACAGAAGAGTGCACCGTTTGCTCTTTGCGCTATACTACATCAACTTTTTACGCGCAGAAACTTGCTCTGTAAATATGCTGAGAAAGCGTTGGCGGATAAAGGCGAGAGATTTACCGGGGAAGTCCATACGTTGTGGAGTATTTTGGTGGAAGCGGCAGCCGGGGGGGAGTGTGGCAATGTAATCTGTGTTGTGGATGCGTTGGACGAGTGCGAAGAGGTGACCCAATCTCTACTCCTAGGCCACCTGGCTAGCTTTTCCAGGACAGAAAATTGCGACATGCGGTTGAAAATCATCGTTACTAGTCGCCCATACTAGAAAATTGAGAGAGGACTTCTCTCACACGCAACGACGATTCGGCTGAAAGGGGAAGACGAAATCGACTCTATTACTCGCGACGTTACCCGTGTTATCAACGAAGGTATTAAGGACCTGGAGGAATATTGGGGACACCTTGGCAGATTTGGATATTTGCGGGGCCTCCTCGAATCCTCCGCCGATCGGACCTTCATTTGGGTCTCACTCATTCTGGAGATTTTGAAGGATAGTGAGGATAGCTCGGAGGAGGAGTTTACTAACATT